GCCGGGGCCTCAGTGTGGGTCGTGGCCCAGAGGCAACATGCGAACCACGGGATCACGATGTTGTGATGAAGGAGGGTCAGGATGATTATTACGAGTTTCGGGAGGAGGAGGAGGAGGAGGAGGAGGAGGAGGAGGAGGAGGAGGAGGGGGAGGAGGAGGGGGAGGAGGTTCAGGAGGATGATGTCCTCCTTCCCCTGCTTCTCCCCTTCCACCCCTCCTCATCTTTCCACTCTTCCCCTGCCGCCCTCGCCGAACCACGATCCAAGTGGTTTGGGAGCGTGTGCAGTGAAGCGCTCCTCCCCACCTCCCTTCCCCCTGCCTCCCTCCTCCAGCCCCCCGCGTCGGGGACAGGGGGGGGGGAATCCATTTGGAACTCGTGGGGTGAGCGTTGTCGGTGCCAGTGGTGGCTGCCCCGGCGGATGCGCTCACCGCAACTCGCACCCCACGCGCAGGGCGCTCCAGAGAGGGCCCGCTCGTCGAGGGTGCCCGGCTCGCCCGCGGCGGAGGCGGGCGGAGGGCCGCCGGACGCCGACGGGGGCAGCACGCAGGCGGAGGCTGGCAGAGTGCTGGCGGAATGCTGTCCCTCTACAGGAGGAGTATTCGAAAACAATGTTAAAAAAGTAGTCTGGGAACGATGTGTGGGAATGTTTTTTGACTATGCTGGACACGGTTTTGACTACTTCTCATTTGTCGTCCAACATCCGCCTGTAGGAGGGCGTGCCCGACCCAGAGCTAGCGGCCGTGTATCTTGACCTGGGTCCATGATCCGTCACAGACTGACGGACTGATTGACTGAAAGCCGCTCCTTGTCAGCGCATCGGAAAAGACAATCAAGAAGGCACACATGCACAACATGCATGAGGCAATGCATGAACGGGGAACAAGTACAAGGCCTCGAGGCACTTCTGCCCGAAACTTCGTCCTGGCACAGCGTGAGCGTGAGTTGGTATTCCTCCTCCTCCTCCTCCTCCTCCTCCTCCTCCTCCTCCTCCTCCTCCTCCTCCTCCTCCTCCCCCTCCCCGGGACTCCCGTAGCCATTTTGGCTCAAGTAAACCATTTCTCGAGGTGGTTTCAGTGACCAGGAGCCTGCCCAGCAGGCTCGGCCCGCGCATCAGGGGCCTGCTGGGCAAGGCAGGCGCCTTCACATTTTCACTGCTCCGTGGAGCCTCCCTTACTGTACTGGTTGGGCAGGAGATCAGTTCTTCACGGCCGCGCATGGGGCGCAAGGCGAAGGATGATCAGCAGACTGGAAGCCAGTACGCGAAGTGCAGGGGATGTGGATATAAGTGGAGCTGGGCCACCAGGTCGGAGTGCTACATGTGCAAGAGGGGCCTGCAGCCAGCCACCTCTCAAGAACGAACCCCGCAGGGCGCCTGGGGTCCCAGTGGTGCCTCCTCGCGGCGCCGCAGCCGCCCCTCGGTCAAGCCGAACCGCGAGGAGCTCCTCAAGCAGCTGCGGGCCACCATCCCCGACGGCGGCGCCGAGTCCGCCCAGCACCTCGAGGCGCTCGCCCGCGTGCAACCCCCGGAGGTGCACCCAGACGTCGCCCTCAACCAGGCCCAGGCGCGGCTGCGCAGGGCCGAGGCAGCGCTCAAGCGGACCATCGAGAGCATCTCCGAGGGCGAGCAGTGGCTGCAGGACCAGAAGGAGCAGCGGGAGACCTGGGTCCTCGAGGTCGCCGACGCCGAAGCGGCGGTCCAGGCGGCCTACGCTCGAGCGGCGCCCAAGGCCGCGGCGCCTGTGGAGGAGCCCACGCCAGCCCTGGACCTCTCGCAGCTGCTCGAGGGCGACCTGGACCTCCTCAGCGTGCGGCCAGGCAAGGCGTTCGATCTCGAGGGACTCGACATCCCGCCTGAGGAGCACCGCCAGTTCGAGGAGCAGATGGGCCAATTCGTCAAGCAGGTCCAGTCCGAGGTCAAGCGGCACTTCGGCCCAGCGGCGGATGGGGCTCGCCGCGATGCGAGCGGACCTCAAGGCCTTCAGCGACAGGCTCAAGAGCAAGAGGGCTCGGTCGGAGCCCCCCCCTCCAGAGGCCGCCGCCGCTCCCGCCTCAGCGGCGCCCGCAGGCAAGGCGGCAGGCAAAGGTGGCCCAGGAGGCGGGACGGCCGACGGCAAGCAGCCAGTGGCGGCCGCGCCCAAGGCGGCTCCCACAGGGGGGCCGCCAGCTCCTCCCCCTGGTGGCGCTGACGGTGCTCGCGACGCTGCTGCAGCCAGCGGCGGCGGCGCTGCAGGCTCCACCGCTCCTTCGGGGGCCCAAGGCAGGACGCCCAAGCGCGAGCTGGCGCAGGACGTCCGAGCCAGGATCTTGGAGCGGGCAGCCACCAAGCCTCCAGCTGCTGACGGATCCTCCAGCACAGCCTGAAGGACCAGCCCCGCAGGGCTGGCGACGGTGGCGACAGCGTCCACGCCGTGGTCGGGGCAGGACTGCCGCGCGAAGGCGAGGAGCGCCAGCCGTCCCACCAGAAATCGACGGGGTCGCGACGACCTCCACTACTTCTACGAGTACTACCACTACATGGGGTGCGCCTCCTCCGCCCGACCTGGGGGAGTCGCTCCGAAAGGCAGGCAGGCAGTGGCAGCCTGGGCCCAAGCGGGTGGCCTTCATCGTGGGGACGAGCGTCCACGTTCCAGCCATCGAGGAGGGCTTTGACATCCTGGACGGGGGCGGCGACAGCTCCTCCTCGGACACCTGGGCACGGCGGGCGCTCAGGGGCGCGGACGCGCTCCGTCGCCAGCTGCTCGCGCCGTGGCTCCGACGGCTGGACGTCAGCTCAGCCTCGAGCACAGCCGCGGACGCCTCGGAAGAGGCTCCAGTGGCGCATGAGTGGAGAGCCGCGGATGCGCGGGTGGCCGATGCCTCTCCCCATGCGCCCCTCTCGCTGAAGCCGCCGACAGGCGGGTGGCCGATGCATTCAGCGATGTGCCCGTGGGACGGAGAGCCGCAGACGTGCGGGGTGGTCGACGCCTCTCGACACGAGCGCCCCCAGCTCGGCTCCCCTGACGGGGGGGTGGCCGATGCAGCCCAGCTGGGGAGAGGGATGCTGGAAGCCCAGATCGCGGGGCAAGGGGCGCCACGCCAAGCCTGGCATGGACGTCAGCTCAGCCTCGACCACGGCCACGGACGCCTCGGAAGAGGCTCCAGTGACGCATGAGTGGAGAGCCGCGGATGCGCGGGTGGCCGGTGCCTCTCCCCATGCGCCCCTCTCGCTGATGCCGCCGACAGGCGGGTGGCCGATGCCTTCAGCGATGTGCTCGTGGGACGGAGAGCCGCAGACGTGCGGGTGGTCGACGCCTCTCGACACGAGCGCCCCCAGCTCGGCTCCCCTGACGGGGGGGTGGCCGATGCAGCCCAGCTGGGCAGAGGGATGCTGGAAGCCCCGATCGCGGGGCAAGGGGCGCCACGCCAAGCCTGGCATGGACGTCAGCTCAGCCTCGAGCACGGCCGCGGACGCCTCGGAAGAGGCTCCAGTGACGCATGAGTGGAGAGCCGCGGATGCGCGGGTGGCCGATGCCTCTCCCCATGCGCCCCTCTCGCTGATGCCGCCGACAGGCGGGTGGCCGAAGCCTTCAGCGATGTGCCCGTGGGACGGAGAGCCGCAGACGTGCGGGTGGTCGACGCCTCTCGACACGAGCGCCCCCAGCTCGGCTCCCCTGACGGGGGGGTGGCCGATGCAGCCCAGCTGGGGGGAGGGATACTGGAAGCCCCGATCGCGGGGCAAGGGGCGCCAAGCCAAGCCTGGCATGGTGCTCAGGGGCCTCAACGGCAGCGCCTGGGGCACTCTCGTGGACCACTTGGACGAGATGCCGCCGGGCAGGAACACCATCATGCTGGTTCAGGAGCACCACCTCACCAGCGATTACGTCGGCGAGATCAGTGCCAGCTGCTTCCAGAGGCACCTCACCGTCGCCCTCGCTTCCGCGGCTGCGGGGCCAGGTGGCGGCAGAGTGGCAGGCTCGCCAGGAAGGCTGGTGACGGCAGGCCGCCAGGAAGGCTGGTGACACCTTCGACTTTTCGCCGCCAGGCTCGCCAGGAAGGCTGGTGACGGCCTGGGCTCCTGGGTTTCTTCGCGGTGGCCTCATGGTCCTCAGCGCCTACTTCTGGGTCACCGAGGGCTGGGCGGTTCGCAACCTGTCCATCTTGGGCGCCATCGGCGAGCTGGTGAGGGCCTACGACATCCCGTGGGTCCTCCAGGCCGACTTCAACAACGCCCCCGACACGCTCATGGCCACGGGCTGGGTGGTCGACGTCGGGGGCACCATCTTCTCCTCGGCCGCCCCCACCTGCCAGGGCAAGGGCGGCGGGAGGGTCATCGACTACTTCGTGGTGGACACGCGCATCGCGTCAGCCTTCGGTCCAGCGGAGGTGTTCGACGCGTCCACCGCCCCGCACAGCCCCGTCGCCATCGCGACGGAGAGGCCTCTGCGGGAGCGGCTAGGCTGGAGGCTGGTCAAGCCTCGTGCCTTCCCGACTCGCCTCCCTGTGGGTTGTCGTCGGGAGCCTCCAGCCTGGCCGATCCTCGACAGTGGCGCAAACTACAGCGACGCCGAGCTGGAGGAGCTGTTGGCTGGGTTTTCGGCGGCGGCCGGGCACGACCTGCAGGGCATCCACGACCTCGTCGGCGAGGCCGACTACACTGGCAGGGGGTGTCACCCCCGATGGGCCCGAGCCCCGATCGCAGGCCCAGAGGCGCATGCGAGGCCCAGGGGCACCACGCGCTCCAGGGCATGGCGCTGGGTGGCCAGCCGCGTCGGCGACATCGTCTGGCTGGCGCAGGCGGCCCGTCAGCGGCGCGACTGGCAGCCGTATGCCGACCAGTGGCGGCGCCTGCGCAGGCGCCTCCACCACGGCGCTGCCCGCTGGTGCGACGCGCTGGGCGACGACGCCAATGCCGTGCACGCCGAGCTCCTCGCGCTGGGTGACCTCACCTGGGACGGCGACGCGCTCTGGGAGGGCGCCCCCAGGGCCATGGATCTGCTGCGTCGGGCCACGCAGCAGGCCC